GAGCTGCTACAAACAGGAGAGGAAAAACCCATAAAAATTATTGCTGAAAAACAGAGAAGAAAAATTGAGAGTTCCAGCCAAGAAAAAAAGGAGAAGCTGCACATGTTGTCAAAGGAGTTGTAATTCCATTCGTTGGTTTAAACAACAATAACCAAAATTTTCCCTTTAAACAACAATAACCAAATTTCAACTAACACTTCAATTGACAATAAATTTCATAAAACTCACCAAATTTCAATTAAAATTCAGCAATTATTACCCCCATCAACCAAATTTCATTATTAAAAATAGGAACCAACTAAAGTCAAGCAAATCAAACTCAACTGAACAACAATATAGAACTCTGATAAAGACAATTCAAACTCATGAATTATTACCCACGAAATTATTACCCATTAACCAAATTTCATGATTAAAAATAGGAACCAATTAAAGTCAAGCAAATCAAACTCAACTGAACAACAGTATAGAACTCTGATAAAGACAATTCAAACTCATGAATTATTACCCACGAAACAACATAAGGAACACTACCTGAAAACTCCAACATGTAGGCATGATAGGCAAAACTACATATGATTCAGAGGGTGCCTTTGACAGATTCAACCAAAAGCAAAAGAACAGTGGAAAAGAAATATACTTGAAAGCAAAAGAATAGTGGAAGTAGCCACATTAGAAAAAAATATACCGTGCACCGAGGACCGAGAAGAGAAGAGAAAAGTGTCGATGGAGGAACTCGTGCACCGGAACAGCAGCTGGAGGAAAAAACATACCGAAAATGTAAAAAATTCAATCCAAAAATGTAAAAAATTCAGTCCGAAAAAGGTGTTTAATAGAGTAGACTGTGAACATGAAAAGAAAAATTGAGTGTGAACCTCCGTGAACCAAAAAATTGAGTGTGAACCGAAGCAAAGAATTTTGAGTTGGATTTTGAACCGCTGTGTTGTGCTTGGATTTTGAACTGCTGTGAACCGCTGTGTTGTGCTTGGATTTTGTTACAGGTGAACTGCTGTGAACAAAGTGAGTGTGAGGAAGTGTGTGCGAAAAAGAGGGAAAAAGAGGGAGATGCGAGAGAGAGGGATGGGGGGAGGGTGGTTGTGCCTGTCGGGGAAGTGACTCGCCGCCATGGCGCGGTTGTGTGTCCGGGGATTTGGGGAAGTGACCGGCTGAGGGAGAAGTGAGAGAGAAGAGAGATGGGGATCTGATGTTGGGAGCCGTTGGGGTGGGCTGGTTGGATATGATAGGTGGGTTGGGTTAGGTTGAATGGGTTGGGTTAGGTTAATTTGGGGGGAATAATATAATGGGATAAAAATTCAAGTTGCTATGTGTTTTATTATATAGATTGTATTTATAAATATATATAATATTAATCGAATTGACATTTTTATTGAATCAAATTTGTATAGATTTGTTACCCCCTTAGCTTTTGGCTCAGCGTTGGCATGGGGCAGCCTCGCCTAAAGACGCTCATACCTTAGCCAAATTGGGTTTCGCTTGAAGAAGCAAACCCTTGGTGCAATCAGTGGGTGATTGAAGACTCATGCATAGCTTAGGATGATAGCTCATGCATGAGTATATTGGATATGATCAATGGGTGATTGAAAACTCATGTATGACTGAGTGAGGCAGCTCATGCATAGATACGATTGAGTGCAATCAATGGATGATTGAAGCCCCGTGCATGACTAGGCGTAGTAACTAATGCATGGGCACAAGCAAACATGCAAGCAAAGGCTAGTCGGGTGGCTCGATTTGTGGAGCAATGTTAACTTGGAAGAGGGAAGACTAAGTCATGGGTTAGGCAAGGCTAAACACGAAGGTAAGGCTAATCAGGTGTTGTGACTCGTAAGGAAGGCAAGTGCACAACATGTGAGGCAGTTTCGAACGATTGTGGCATGTGCATGACATGCAAGAGTGATTTTGTTCAAAATGCTGACATGTGTACAACATGAGAGTTAATGGCATGTGCACTTGGCATGCACAGTAGTTGAGGGCAGTTGCTAGTTAGGTCAGTCAACAGTTGCAACTGTCCCTTTTCATGACCAGCAGATGTGGGAGTGGCAGAGGACCTGAACCATCATCAGCAAACCATGAGTGGCATTGTGGGCAAATTTGAACTGCCGCGCAGTTGCCTAGGCAATTGGGCTTTGTAACCATCATTTTGTATGCTATAAATAGACATGTATTAGTTTGCAGTGCACCAGCAGAGAGTAAAACACTTTTATAAGCAAACCCTGACTGAGTGTTCCTTTAAGCTTTGTTGAAAAAAAAAATGTTTGATCAATTGCCCTATAAAACTTGTGTGTTGTGTGTGAGTTTACTTGTCTGTCCTCACTCTATTCGTGTGTACATTTTTGTGAGTGTTTTGAGTGTTTGGCCGAAGCTGAGTGTGGATCTCAGTACCATCATGAGATAGAAATTTGAGTGTAAAATTTGACCACGTGACAAAATTCATATTTATATTCAATTTAAGATATTTAATCAGTTTCAAATTGAATTCAAATAAATAAATAAATAAAATTTATATCCGATTACATATATTAAAATTTAAATTTGGACTAAAATTCAATCCATGCCTAAATGGCAGGCCAAGTTTTGAGCTGCGTCACCCGACGGCCATAGTCGTGGACTCGTTCTCTTCAACAGTCAATTCAATTCAATAGTTGATCACTCTCATCCACGTGGCACTCAGTAACCATAATAACGTCATTTTCGCAAAAATTTTAGGGAGGACTTTTGGCTCACCGAGCTGAGAAGTTTTCCTACCTTTCAAACTGCAGGCGGAGCTTGGAGGAAGTCTACCGTACCAAAATTTAAGATTTTTCAAATTTGAGTTATAATTTTTTAAGGTAAAAATTATAAAGATATAATCATTCTTAAATGTTATGATGGATTATTAAAATTATAATTTTTAAAAATAAAATTATAACTTTTAAAAATAAAATTATCATTTTTAAAAGTTTGTTTGTAACTAAAAATTAAAATTTTATTTTGAAACATAGTTTCGATTACTTTAAAAATCAAAAAACGTTTCAGATATGTCTCAAAAGAATTTCAAAAACATAACAAAAAGGGATTAAAAAATGAAATTTTTTTGTTAAAATTATTTCCATCTATTGATCAAAATATGCTGAAGGATGTTAAATCAAGATGAAATATTACAAAATATTGGTTGAAATATGTCAAAACTCCTCGAAATATTCTGAAGCACTAGAAGCGTTGGAATTTTGCTTCAATCATTGATTCGTTTTTGTTCCCATAGCAACAGAAATATTGTTTTGAAACAAAATTTTAACTCTTGATTACAACCGACTAAATGTATTCATGATCAATCACAATTTTTCACTATCGATTATGAATTACTCCAAGAAATTATAACTTAATCTAAAAAAATATAAAAATTATTTTATTTTTTGTAAAATTACCCCTAGATCAAGCATATGCTTACAAGTAAGGTTGATAGTCGAACGAATTCGAGTTAAGATTAAAAAATTTGTTCAAGTTTGAGTTATTTAAAAAATAAATTGAAATTAAACAAACTTAAAAAATTGTTCTAATTCAAGTCATTTAAATAATAGATCAAATTTAAATAAACCAAAAATAAAACGAAATCAAATCAAGCTGGAGTACGTTAGTTTGATTAACAGCCGAATATACAAGCTATGGAAAATTTAAGGGGAGAGTCAGTCGGGTACTGCGGTGGTTTACACGTTGTTTTAACAATCACTCTGGAAGGAATCTACCACGCACGAACGCGTTCACACCTAGTGATCGAGATGTTAACAACAAATTGACCAAAATGGCCTCATGTTAGGCTTCTATCCGTTGCATCGCTTCCTGCTTGCTAGCACAATGTTTCGACAAAATTAGTACAGGGTGAATTACATTATCATCCCTCAAGTATCCACTCAGTGTCACATTAATCACTCAAATCTGAATGATTAGGGATTACAATTTCTAATACAGTACAAAAATAAAACTCAAAATTAATACGGAATTAACGGGTTAAATTTGACCATTTCTTAATATAAATCTGGATATAATATGATCCGTTAACACGAATAATAAATATATAAAATTAGTGTCAAACACAAACAATACGAAATTGATATAATTAATACATTTAAGTAATATAGGTTGACACGACACGACATGATCAATTAAACGGTTTTGGTTATAATTGACTTATTTTCGTTACGAAACCGAAATAACACGACACGATTGACACCCTTATCAATGATGCATTATGTCTTGTTTTTTTATTATTTAAAAATTTCTTTTTCCAATGACCTAATAAGAAAATTTTCTAAGAAAACTAATGAGTTAGTGTTGGCTAGTCCTCATCATGAAACTCAAAATAATACGAACTTCTTTATATAAGTACAAAAAATTTATAATACTATATACATTGAGAAAAAATAGGGATTAAGTGATGTGACATTTTATTAATAATATTATTTATTTCACTTTTATTCATTTAAAATTAATTTTTTATTTAGTATGGTAGCTTATCACATCATTTGGGTTTATTTTTGATCTAATTTTTTGGTCAGTATAATATTTCCCAAAAAAATGCATTAGATTAGTGGCAAGTACAAATAAACTAATTTTAACTAGATGAATCTATTTAGTTCTTATTCTAGTTAAAAAAAAAAAAATCTAATTTGTGTTTTCAAATTTTATAAGGCCTTTTATTATTTTTTGAATTGAATCCCGGTTTTCTGTGAATCCTTTAAAAATTAGAGAATTTTTTTAGTTTATTTAGCTAATAGTGGATTTTTAGTTTATAAGTTTGGTAGAGATTTTTCTTCAATTTTCTATGATTTTTTTTTTACTTAGATGAGTGAAAAAAGTAGAGATTTTTCTACGATTTTTCTCAAAATGATAAGTTTGGTTGAGAAACAATAAATTATAATTTAGAGTTATTAGTTCACGGGTTCTACGTGCCAATCTAATCATGACACGATTAACAACACATGTTCACGATAAATAAAAAGATCATGTTGCGTAAGAAGCAGCTTATTTCCATCAACTTCCGTTTCATCAACGTGTACTTTATGAGTAGGTATATCAATCATGTCGGATCTTAATAGATTCGTGTTAAAAAGTAATTCATTCATACCCGATTTTTTTATTAACTACTGTTTAACAAATTGTGTTATATTGAATTCGTGTTGTATATGAATCGTACATAACCGATATATAAACGAGTCATGTCGTGTATTTATTTTGATTAATTTCACTCATACTCGAATTATTTATTAATCATGTTAGATCTGATCCACTCATTCATAAAACAAGTGACTTAAGAAATATAAAAATCTTCTAATTTTATGTGGTGTTCATGTCATATTAATAAATCATGTTTTATTTTCACACTCGGTACATAACACCACAGAGATTGGAAGAAAAACCAATAAGATAAACTGTCCAGTGTAAGGACTATGGTGTACCGCGACGCACCCAATCTCTACTTTCATCCTCGTTTGAAAATCCAAAAACAGAACCAGAAGGGCCTATTGGTCATTTTGAAATATTGGAAAAAAGATCATCGGCACAAAAGTCCGTGTCATTTAGTACCACTCAGAATTGAATACCCCGAAGTTTGTTCCGCCCAATAAACCGATTTTCTGTCGTTTTTCACTTTCCACCTACCACAAAATCCCAACCGTACATGCCATCCCTCAAAACCAATCCCAGCCATTCATTTCAATAACGAACATCCACCGCAGGATCTCATTAATCCAACGGCCTGAAACAAGCTTCTAGATCATTTTCTCTCTCCAAACCCTTATATCACTTCTCTCTTTGGGCCTCCTTTCGCAGACTGCTTGTGCCACTCTCGTGCTACTACCACTCTGAATCTCTCCATTTCTCTCTCTCACTCTCAAAGGTTCGGATTCACAGATCTCTCTGACCGTTCAATGCAACTCCGATCTTTACTTTGAGAGATACATATAAATATGATTTGTATGATTTGGTCTGAATCTGAAATGATTGTGTTTGAAATTTGTGTAGAACCACTGCCATGGGGAAGTGCTACCCAACTGTGAGCGAGGATTATAAAATCGCCGTCGAAAAATGCAAGAAGAAGCTTAGAGGCTTGATCGCCGAGAAGAACTGTGCTCCTATCATGCTACGTCTAGCGTATATTCTCTCTCTATCTCGATCGATCTCCTCTTATTTACGTAGATTTAGTTAGATTTTAATTAACTTATGGAGGTTGATACTTTGACAATTGTGATGAACTTGTAGGTGGCACTCTGCTGGTACTTTTGATGTGAAGTCTAAGACCGGAGGTCCGTTCGGAACAATGAGGCACAAGGCTGAGCTGGCTCATGGAGCCAACAATGGTCTGGATATTGCCGTCAGGCTATTGGAGCCCATCAAGGAAAAGTTCCCCATCCTCTCCTACGCTGATTTCTACCAGGTCAACTCTTTCCCACTCTCTCACTACAAAATAGTTGCAAATATGTGGCTGTCAAGTTGGCTGAAATCTCTGTAGCGAATTTATTTTTGTTTGACTTCAGTTGGCTGGAGTTGTTGCTGTTGAAGTGACTGGAGGACCTGAGGTTCCATTCCACCCAGGGAGGGAGGTTAGCGAATTTCGCTTGACACTCTTCAATCTATTCGTTTTTCATATGTCAAACATATTCCGAAAGAGTTATTGAATTTGAAACGGATTCCAAGGAAACTATTATGTGTTCTATATTTGTTTACTAGCCGCCAACCCCGTGCAATGAAGCGGGGCTTAAGTTATGGCTCATTATTTTTCATCTTTCACTTGTCAAGTTAAATGCAAAAATTATGAAAAGTTACAGGGAGGTAAAAGTAATTTTAATAAACAGTGTAAACAAGTGGTAGGTAGGTAGTGGGAGGAGAGGATTGGTAATTTGGGACACATAGTCGGATGTGATTAGTTTATTTCTAATTAAATAATTCAAAAATCTAAGATAATAGAAAAGAGGGAGGGAAAGGCTTTCAGGGCCTCCTTTCTAAGAAAATGGTTCTTTTTATATATATAGATAGATTTCATTGGCGACTTTGGTGGGTAATCTTATTTTTGATCAATTCTTGGTCTTAGATATTGAATTGTCTTTGAATTGAATGTAGGTGAGAACTTTGCCGCCATAAAGAGTTGTTGTTGAATTAAACAAATGGTAGTCAAACAATAGGCAGCTGGAGAGCCTATTCTAGACCAACTATAAACTATAATCTCAATGCGCTGACATTGTTAGGAGATATTTCTCAATCTCAATCATTGTCCTTGTTTTGATTGGGTTAATGAATTTGAAGCTTTTGCACTCCAACGTTCTTGGAAGAATTTCCATTACAAGTGTTGATGCCAAATTTGACAAGCCAATGTAAGTGGAGTGACACACTAATTGCAATCTACAAAATAGAGAAAAGAGGTTGGAGATTCACCAGTAGAGCTTGTCAATGGGATGTCTTGCTTGTATAGGCCATATGGTCTTGTGCTTGAGTGACTTGTTGGTCAATTGTAGTAGTCAAATTGTCTTTCAATCTTTTGAGTTTTCCAAACTATCCTAAATCGGTTTGTCCTCCACTTCCAATGTTGACATGTTTGCTAGAGATATGAGTGAAGGAAGTAGTAACTAGGTTACACTACAGTTCTATATCATTAGTCTACTCATAAACTAATAGTCTCAACCACAAAAATGGAAGATCATCGAGTGGTGGATTTTGATAGGATCTAAAAAAGGTTGATTAGAATGGACAATCATGTTGCCAACATTGTATGATACGTTTCAATATAATGAAAAAATAATATGCACAAGCCTTTTTTATTTCATATTCTACACAGTAAAACATCTTCATTTTGTAAGCCTGTTATTTTAACCTAACCTCAATGGTGAAATGATGTTCTGTCTTATAGGTTGTATTTTTCTTTTGTAATTTGATCTCAAATAGAGAGAGCACACGATCGTTTTCTTTTTTTTATGCGATCATCTTCTGTTTTTCCTCCTTTTTTTCTTTAGATAGAAGAAATTCTTACTATTTCGACCTCTGTCATGAAGATGAAGGGTTGTTTGTCTTTAATATTTGTATTAATTTGGATATATGTATTTGTTAATATATTTTCTAAATTGAGTGTATTTTATACTACAAGATATATTTTAGTACTCGTTTTGTTATTTCTGAAACGATTTGTGTCGCGAGAATTATTTTGCCTACCTTTCTTTGTGAAACTTGACAAGTTGATCACTAATGCAATTAATAAACAAGTTGTTCAATTACAAGGCCACATGCAAGCAGGTATCACCACTGGCTACCCTATGTGCATAAGTCACCCAACATCTCTATCTTTATAGATTGGGTCTCCCTTTACATTTACCAAGTCATTCTCACTCTCCATACTCACATGGCTGGTCCGTATGATTGAGCAAAAGGGAAGGCCTTATTATGAAGATCTTTTTTTCTTATTATAATTATGCTCCTCAAATGTAGAATTGACATCGAGTTTGACTGAATTTTGGAGAAATTATGGTCTATAATTGTTAATTTCATTGGTGGGGTATGTGGGTAATCTTATCTTTCTTAGACCTTTGACATTCTAAATTGTTGTTGAATTGACCATAGATGAGAGCATTTTGGTCACTAGGAGGTTAGATATCTTTCAATCATTGTCCTTGTTTTGATTGGGGTTAAAGAAGCCAAAGTTTTTTAGCGTCAATATTTTGGTAGAATTACCATCGTGTGTGTTTTTGCCAAAATTTGGTAGATTGACAAGTTAGAGTCACACACACAATGTTACTTGATACGTGTATATGGTGTGCTACATCTTCCGAAACGCAGTGCGATGGTTGTAGGCTTAGTTGATATATTAGTTTGCGTTGTTGTGGCTTATTTTCTGTAGGATTGCTTTTTTAGTTTGGGTACATGGTGGATATTATACATTCACATACACATAGTTAACTAGTATTTATTTTAGGATTTCAATCACAATTTGGGATCAAGAATTTAAGTGATTTAGATTGCGAATTCACCCCGTTTTGGGTCATGCGATCCCAACTCAAGGGACGGGTATCTATGCGCACACCTGCTCGAGATGTGCCAAATTTGGTAGATTGGTTAAGCTCGACCTTGGACAGGGTGTTGATGGGTCTTCCGAGGCTTAAGCCAATATCTTAATTGATTTCAGAAAGCAGAATAAATAATGAGGGCCCTTTGGGAAAGTGGGCTTCTTATCGTGCCTAATCTGTGAGTGCAAGGGGGAGTGCCCTCCAGATAAGGGAGAGGTGTTCATTTGACAAATTTGTTGGTGTAGCTGTGTAGGTACACATGTGATGGGGTTTGTTTGGTGGTATGTATTGCTTGTCTTTGACATGTGGTTTTGTGCTTAGGTGACTTGTGGGAAAATTTCGATAAGTGAGAATTGTTTTGTCAACTTGTCTTGTTATTCTTCTCTTGGTTTTTCAATAACCTACCACATCAGTTTTCCTTCCGAGATCGAGCGATGGAAGTAGTGCCTGGGTTACACTACATCCTTTGTCTTGTGATAAACTAAAGATCACGATCTCCAAAGAGGGGATAATTGATGTGGAGATTTCGATAGGACCCAAAAAAGAAAATTTGACAAGTTGACAAAACTGGTAAGTTGACAAGTTGACAACTGCAACAATTAGCCAACAAGGCACTCAATCGCAACTCAACACACACTCGCTACCCCATGTGCATACTTCATCAAACATTAAAAGGACTCCCTACCCATTTACAAGTAAGTCATTTTCTTTTTTTTTTGGGGTACAGAAGAAAAGTCAAGTAAGTTATTTTGACTCTCCATACTTACATGACTGAGCACAAGGGATGGCCTTATCTTGAAGTTCCTTATTCCCCGTTTAATACCTATGCCCCTCAAACTTAGTCATGAGTCCAACTTGAGTAGCAAAAGGTCTTCCACTGAGTCACTGATACCCTATCAATGGAACCCCTAATCATTTATCTGTCTTGCTCTATTGGCTTTTCAAATTTTGACATTAATAGATGGTTTAGAAAAAGATTTTGGTCTTCTGTAGTACACTAATGCTGATAAATGAGGATTATTCTTTTTCAGCATTAGTCGTTCTTTAGACTATGTTATTGCTGCTAAAAACTAGATGGCATGAATGAAGTCAATGGATGTATGTGCTGTTTCTTAAGACGAAGGAAATTGTTTGTAGTTGATTGCTTGATGAACAATTAGGTTAAGGTGCATAAATTAAAGGAACCTCCAGGGTTTTTGTGCATTATTTGTTTGATTCCTTCTTGTTGAAGGGTCTTGTATGGCGGTTGCTTTTCTGTAGAATAAGATGGCACAGGCATTCTTGCTTTTTGGTATGATAGTAGAAACTTCAGCCTTGTTGTTCTTGGAAATAAAATGTGGAAATCTAAAACAATGGATGCACACTTTGTTATTTTCCTTTTGATCACTGTTGGGCCTACCTCTTTCTTTGAGTACATGAATTACATTCACTTAGTTTGCCAAGTTTGTGTTAGAAGTGTCAATTTTCTTCCTATGGCATGTAGCTCAGCTTATGGTAATCATATCCCTTTTCATATCGCAGGACAAGAGCGAGCCACCGGTTGAAGGCCGCTTACCTGATGCTACCAAGGGTAAGTATGTTGCACTTTTAGCAATTGTTTTTGTAAATGGGAAGCAAACTAGAGTTAGAAAGGTAAAGGTCTAGCTTGTAGGTGCACAATATATTCCTTGTCCTTATAACATTCTGTATTATGTTTCAGGATCCGACCACTTAAGGGATGTGTTTGTTAAACAGATGGGTCTTACAGACAAGGACATTGTTGCTCTTTCCGGTGGCCATACTCTGGTTAGTACCAGCTTCCAATTTCATGTTGCCTTTGACTTATTGCTTGTATCATTAATTTCTGCTACGTGGTACTTGTTAGAATTTTTTAAAAGGATGTTACGTGTTCATGAATTTTTCAGGGAAGGTGCCACAAGGAGCGTTCTGGATTTGAGGGACCCTGGACCATCAACCCTCTCATCTTTGATAACTCATACTTTAAGTAAGACATACTGATAGCATATTACTTTATTCATTACTGTCAGTTGTTCTCAATATGATAAACTATGCAAGTAATCTCATATTATCACTCGGTATCTTTTTTTTCTACTTCTAACAGGGAACTCCTGAGTGGAGAGAAGGAAGGACTTCTACAGCTTCCATCTGACAAAGCACTTCTCTCTGACCCTGAATTCCGCCCGCTTGTTGACAAATATGCAGTGGTTCGTATATCCCACATCCCCCCACTCTTTAATAGTTCTTGGTTGAAACACGTTGGCGATCCTCGAAATATGTATTTAGTCTTATTTTTATCCCTCGACTTCTAACTATATCATGTTAGTTTTTAAAATTTCAAATCGTTTTTAAACTTTTTGATGGGTAAATTGTTTTTAAACTGTCCAATCAATAACTCCCATCTGGATATAAATAGATAGGTTAATATCTAGGAAGCACGGATACTTTTTGTGGTTGGGGGGGGGGGGGGGGGGGGGTGGCCATGGCATTGTCGAACAAGTGTTTGACACGGATAGTTTCAAAAGTGTCCTGCACAGTAGATGAGCCATTTTCGCAGCTGGATATGAGAGGGATACTTGGGGATACAAGAGGGAACTCTCCTCCAGCTTGGGGATACAAGGCGTAGTTCAAAGTAACGGCCAATATCGATATGAGTCGAACGAGTTGTATCCGTCTCGGTACCTTTGGAGACGATACTGTTGCACAATACATATAAATTTCGAGTCTTGCATAACTCGGCCGAGTCATTCGAGTTGTTTTCGAGTCGTCGAAATATTGTCATCGAAATGGCCGATAAGGTTTCACGTTGTCACGATATGACTTGAATTTTTTGTTATGTTCAACACTAAATTGGAATTAATTGTACAAAAGTACAAAGAAAAAAATTTAGGGTAAAAAAGTTCTTAGTTGTATTACTTATTTGTTTTTAAGTACATTATTTGAAATTTTTATATTTTCTTCTGACATTTATATTCTTTTTTGATTCATATGTATTTTTTTTTGAAAGTGATTTTGTTTTCAAATTATATTTAATGCACCTTGATTCATTCGTATTTTTTTTAAAAAGTGATTTTTTTTTTTTGAATTAATTGTAAAAAAGTACAAAGAAAAAAATTTAGGGTAAAAAAGTTCTTAGTTGTATTACTTATTTGTTTTTAAGTACATTATTTGAAATTTTTATATTTTCTTCTGACATTTATATTCTTTTTTGATTCATATGTATTTTTTTTTTGAAAGTGATTTTGTTTTCAAATTATATTTAATGCACCTTGATTCATTCGTATTTTTTTTAAAAAGTGATTTTATTTTTAAATTATATTAATATCCGAACTCGATATCAGTGTAATAATAATAGTGTAACAATAACAGTGTAATAATAATAGTGTAACAATAACAGTGTAATAAGACATTTACACAAAATATTGTACTATTACATTTTGTCAAACATATAATTTCGTTCAAAACAATTTATTTCTGTTTTAAATTTGTTATCACATGCACAAAATCACTGAACACTGTTTTTGTTACAGTGTATTGCTACACTGTCTTGGTTACACTATTGCTTAATAAATTTGTTACATTTGTGTTACAGTGTAAATAATTTTATATTTCAAATTATATAAAAAATAATTAACAAATTTTGAAATTCAAAGAAAATGATATATTCTAAAATAAACAGAATATTAAAATTCTCCCATAAAACTATGAGATATTTTATGCATAAATATAATTTGAAAATAAAATCACTTTCCAAAAAAAAATACGCATGAATCAAGATGCATTAGAAATTTTGAATTAAATGACTCTAAATTTCAACGCTTAAGATAAATTCCTTGTTACAGTTCTTAGGAATTAAAATTTTACAAAATGGGTATTTACATTTTTGTATCTCAACTGTGTATTTTTTTCTGAAATATTTTGTTCTGTGTATTTTTTTTACAATTATGTTTAATTTAATGTACCGACTTCCAAAGAACCTTATAATAAATTATAATCCCACCTTCTTAGTTGTTTCTCACTACCCAGGGTAGTTTAGCCCATTATCTATAACATAGTAATCCACTAATTAAATTTAATATTAACTCATTTGTCCAATTATAAAATATTAATTAATTATTTAATTTTATTATTAATATTATTATATATATAAAAATATATTATATTATTTTAATTAATCGTATCTTTGCTGTACTCGTGTCCTATGTTTTAAAATTGTGTCCTATTCCCGTGTTCTTGTATTAGATATGACATCTGGGTCTATATCTGTGGTTCCCAGGGTAATATATATGTTGATGATGACTGCCACTTTTGACTTCAGTTAGGTAATAAGAACCAAGTTAGTCAAATTTCTCCTCAACCCCTCACCCTACCTGCACGTCAACCTATCTTTATCCCTTACCAACTACCTCCCGTCTACAATCCGGTCAAGCCAAATGTTGGGATTGAAGTCTGACACTGTCTTGCAAATAGCTTGGCAAGGATTGTGCCCCTTGGACCTGAAAGCTTACCCTCTTCCACACATTACCGGTGGTGAAATAAATCATTAAAAACAAATTGAAACTTTAAGGAGTAAAATGATACAGTTGAGAGTTCAAGAATCAAAGTAAGACTGAGTGCATAGTTCGGTGACCATTTATTTTACCCTAAAATCTTTTACTAACATGTAGTTCCAATTGATTCAGATTTTTTTGTTTGGCAGAGTTGTTGATTGTGTGGTTTTCTTTTCAGGACGAAGATGCCTTCTTCGCAGATTATGCAGAAGCACATTTGAAGCTATCTGAACTGGGGTAATTTTCATAATTTCTAGTTGCATCAAATATTCTTCTGTCCAAGTTTCCTTGGCAATTTTCTTGCAGAGCCAATTATTCCTAATATGTTGCCTTGTTTTTGCAGATTCGCTGATGCCTAAGCTTGTTGAGCAATGGAATGATGGCCTGCTTTTGTCTTAAAATGTTACGCTTTTAATTTTGGGAAGCTGTAGCTTGGCACCGGGCTGGTAGTTTTTGGCCTCTCTTGCTGACACTGGTGATAGCAATCAGTGATATGGTCATTTTCTTCCCTAAAAGTACTTCAAACTCTCTCTCTCTCTGTGTTGAAACTTTGTTCTGGCAATTTCAAGCCTTGGGCCATCAATCATATTATATTGTAGATCAAGCTTGCCTGAAGTTGACGTACGTGAGCACCCTGCCTGGTGTGGGTGGTTTTTGGGGGAATATGGAGTGGTAGTGTTAATTTAATACCTTTGTTTGAAGTAAATATTACTAGGGACGGTCATAGGCTGGATTAAAAAGTCTTGGTATTAGGTACGAGCATAGATAACATTAACTGTTACGCTATCACAAATTGCATGTGAACGATGCCAAAAAATGTTCATCGAGCCCCAGAGAGAGAGAGAGAGATCTCTTCTCTACCAGTTAGCTCAATAAATATAATATCATATATGGTCATAATCCAAAGATCTTGGCAGCATTTACGTAAACTCATCCTTTGTGGTAGCAATTACTGGTTGGTTGCCAAATAATACAAGTAATGAAAGAGAATCTATTGTGGTTGGCTCGTTGACTTTGTTTGTCATCAATGAATTGGGTTTGTATTTAAAAGTTGCTCAACTGGTGGGGCTAAGAAAGGTTTTAGCCCTGTCTGTTAGCACAACTGGTAATTAATTATTTATTATTTGCTTCCTAGAAGGAGCCTAACGCCAACTACTTTAAATATTTATATTAATCCCCCTCCTGACTCTATGGTTTCTGATGTGTATTTCTTACCAAAAAAAACTTACCTTAAACACGTGTATCGAAAAGTCATATTAATCATACACTCAAGAGGGATCATATTTTCGAAGCACAACTACCTTAACTTTCCTGTTGACATGTTACGCCAGATTGAATGATACAATCGTCGGTAGAGGTGGCCATCGGGTCAGGTCAAGTTGGATTTGTATTGTATTTTTCGAGATTGGGTTGGGCACTAATTAATTCTAATTTAACCCGTTTAATTAATCGTGTCTTGTCGACCTATTTATTTTCGTATCGTATTCGTGTTAACCCATATAATTTATGAATAAAAAATTTAACTCTCAATTTTATATCTAAAATTTCATTATCACTTAATCGAACTTATACTCATATTTTTTTTTATAAACTAAAAATTAACTTAATAAATATAATAAAAAAATGAGTAAAAATATATATTTTTGTACAAGAATTAGGTCACTATTCGTAATATATAATAAAAAATTAGCATTTTGTTCTTCTAACACGACTTAAACGTGTTAATCGTATCAATTTCGTATTGTTCATGTTTGACATTAACCTCATCCATTTATTATTCGTGTTAACAAGTCGTATCATATACGAATTCATATCAATAAATGATCAACTCTAACCCCCTAATTTTATATCGATTTTGAGTCATGTTTTGAGTCATGTTTTCATATTGTCAAAAATTGTCAACCCTAATCGTGGGTCGCTTTTCAACCAATAAAAATGTGGCACGTTTACTTTTTTTTAATATTTGTTTTTTGAAAAATATTATTTCCAGCCTTATCCTACAATCACTCTTTACTATTGTATCTGATTTGTTAGCATTGGATTGACAGTTGACACAAATATTAATTGGAATCCACTTCTGATTCAAATAGGGGTGTTCACTCGACCCTACGAGTAGGAAATATGAACTTCCATCTTTCTACCTGATACTTTTCGAAAAAAAAAAAATTTGGCCGACCCTATCCAATTAATTGAGGTATTTTTACCCGACTTTCGACCAAATTAATCAGGCAGGAAGTCAGGTAGGAAATCAGGTGTATAATTTTATAGTTATTAATTTTTGAATCATTTTAATAATGCAATTAAATGACATGCACCAATTTAATAACACAATAAATTATTGACACTAAAATCTAAAACAATTACAACAATTACAATAAAACATAAGAAAACATAAACATTAATCCTCATAATTGTTGCACAAATACAATAACAATTATTTTAAATTTAAACCATATGGTTAAGGAATTAAGATTTTTAGTTTATTAATGCGGGTAGGGTAGGTAGGATACGAATACGGAAATTAATAACTATTCTGCATTCTTATCCGATTTAATCGGAAGACCAAAAACTCTTACACAGTCCTACTTGATTTTTTCGGCTAGCAGTTCAATATGGTCGGATAAGGTAAAAAAATGTGGCTAATCGAAAATTTGAACTAGATTCAAGATATCAATGGATTAAATAAAATTATGTCCAAATAGATGTATTGCTCAATTTATTGTGCTAAACGCACAGGTTCCTTCATTGCCCTAGACACAACTTGTGTTCTCACATAATTAGAATAGAAAGAGTCTACAGGCTTTGAGTCCCCTATTATATGTTATTTATTACAACCACCATATTAGTTGTGAATTCTAAAGTTGAATGAACTACATATTTAATCCAACAACTATCATTGATTAGATTCTTAAATTGTATGCAATTAATGTTTTCCATCTGCAAGACAATGAAATAGATTAAAGGGGCATTTGGAAGATCACCTTGTTCAGTGGGCTGGGTTATTCTTGGGATATGTTTGTTTTAAGGAAAAAGATAGATGCGATTGGAGTTCTATTTCCCATCCTCTCCAACGCCATGGGTATGGAAAATATAATTTAATGTCTTTTTTAAACTTGCAGCTTATAGTTTTTGTAATGCATGTTAGTTCCACATAAAAGTGATGCTTATATCTGATAATTGACGTAAATACCATCCGTCTGATTTAGATTATTAGACACTTGAAAGACCAATATTGTAAACTTTTTTTTTTTTGTAGTCTCCACAACAAAAGTAAAGATTTTATTTTATCGAAATTGACTTTAATGCCTTGTCTTGAATTTGAACATTAGGCATCAGAATGACTAATACTGTAATTTACTAATCTAGTACCACGTTAGTTTTCTACTTCACTTTAACACCACCTCTCTGTTGGTATTGAATAATGTCTCTTAAATGGGTTTATTTATACTGCAGCATCCAGGCCGATATTAATTTCAAATATTATAAGCGAACCGATAAAAATATAACAAACCCGATATAAAAAAGATTCTAAACTATTTTTATTCATCCCATGTGCTTGTACCACTCTAAAACCGAAAACAAACATGCCCTAGAATATTCATAAGATCGATTATCAAGATACACAACTGATAATTAATTAAATATTATTTGCTTCCTAGAAGAAGCCAAAACACCAACTACTTTCAACTATATATATATATATATATATACATACACTCTCAAAATAGACTGATTGTTTCTGGTCAAAACCCCAGGTATAAAATGGAATCCATAAAAGAATAACATCTTGTCATATTATTTTTTGGGGGAGTTGGTGAGATGTAACAGTCGGAAGTGTGTTTGTTTTTGGGGAATCACATTTTGTACTACAAAAGATTGAGAAAATTTTATTTTTTTTATATTGTATCCTAAATATAATAAAGTTATTATAACGTAGAGTAATGGAGGTTAACGGTAGGGTCACATTGTAATAATTTTAATACATTGAATATGCAATGTGAGAAATTTAATCTTTAAAAGTATAAAATAAAAATTCTTAAATCTTTAAGGGTACAAAATATAATTTACCTTTGTTTTGATCCAAATTCTAAATAATGCATGGTGACCAAAAAAAATAAGCGTAATTCTCAATAATGCAGGGTGACCCAAAAAAATAAGGGTAAATTATATTGGCACTCCTTATAGATTGGTCTAATTATAGAGACACCCCCTCAATTTTTTTAAATATCACTGACACCCCCTACCAGAATTTGTTGAACGTTGTTAATGAAAATGACAATTTTACATAACTACCCGTTAATATAATATTACCAAACTATATTTAATCAAACCATGATTTAACAAAACCCTCTTTTAATCTCACCTATATAAAGTGGGAACCCTAGTTATGAAAAACTGAATAGTTGTAAACTATTCTCCTATTCCTCTTTTCTAATCGAGCTTCTTTTTGACAGATAATGAAACCACATGACCCTATTTTTTCTTCGTTCTTCTCTTCCAACTGAGCTCTAATCCACAAAAAATACGAGAAGGCTATCAAAGAAGAAATTCAAGGGAAGTCGAACAACCTTTCTTCATTGTTTGTCACATTTGGTAGTTGAGGTTAGTCATGGTTTCATATTGATTATAGTTTTTGGATTACAACATATAAATTAAGGCATGTGTGAAATTTATTGTAAAAAAAAAAAAATTACTGTGAAAAAAATTAGCATTAAAATCAGGGCTTTTACAAATTGGATTATTTTGTGTTTTCCGTGAAACTTCTTGTTTTCTTCAAATTTGTTCATCCTTTCCATCATAAACATAATAATGTTATTTTGTCTTCATATAGTGGGTCTAGAAAATGCTTTCCCTTTGCATGCCTACTGTAATTCCAAGTTTCCAACCCAAGAATCCATACATTACACAAAGTCTTCATAATCTTTCAACCACCAACAATTGATGGGCCCTACCACTAGCAAAGACGCCAAGGCTTCTTCAGCAACTAGAAAAGTAAGAATTGCTTCCAGATGCATAAGAATTCCACTTACTTTTATGGTCCACAATACTTTCTTTTTTTCCAATGCTTTTCATGTCCTTAAACCTAGGGTTATTCAAAATTTTGATCGGCCACAAGTTTCTATTCTACCCTATTTTACACTACCCTACTGAACGGTTAACCGCAAAAATTGGGTAGAAATATGAAAGAGTTTTTAGTCTTTCGACAATTTTCGGGTGGAATGCGGAATAACCATCCATTTTCGCATTCCTATCATACCCTACCCGCAATAATTTTTTAATATATATATAAACTAAAAAAATTCTAAACCCTAACCACAGGCGAAGCAATTATAATTTTAATTTATTTCATATGATTTAAAGTTTAAATTTAAATTAATTGTTATTATATTTGTGTAACAATTATGGTAGATTGATGTTCATACTTTCTTATGTTTTATTATAATTCTTGATGTAGTTGTTTTAGATTTTAGAGTTAATTGATTTATTGTGTTGTTAAATTGGTGCATGTTATTTAATTAAATTGTTAAAATGATCTAAAAATTAATTGTTACAAAATTTTTTACCCCGATTTCCTACCCTACCCTACTTTCTACCCGATTAATCGGATAGGAATACCACACCTGTCGGGTAGGGTAGGCCAAGAAAAAACTCTTCTGCAAAGTATCAGGTTATAAAACGGAAGAACATATTTCCTACTCGTAGGGTAGGGTGAACACCCCTACTTAAATCCATCCCCAATACTTCCTAGGTGAAAGTCTTCACCATGGACCTCTTTTCCACCAAGAATCCCATAAAAATATTTTATCACCTCCTTCATCTCTAATTTGTAAATTGGAACATTATTTGTGTTTGGATCTATTAATTGATATATGCTAGCTCTCAGTTATTTTGTTATTTCTAATTACACATTTGTTATTTCTGAGTTACTTTACATTTTTGTGTTCATGTCATTGTGAAAATGGTGGGACTATCAAGTTTGAAGTTGGCCATTTGTTTAGAGATGTGCATCCCTTCTGAGAGATTCTTAGAGATTATGCAGTGCAAGAAGGTTTTAAATTAATTAGGGACAAAAATAAGAAAACAAGGGTGACATGTCATTGTGAAAATGGTGGTTGCAATTGGAGGATTCATGCATCCCCCCTTCAGGATGGTGTGCATACAAGGTGACAACATTGAGAGGTGATCATACATGTGTTAGGGATACAGTTTGTACTGAAGCAACATCTACATGGATTTCAAAAGTGATGATGCATGCCATTCAAGCTATTTCACATAAAAGACTAAACTTTGAGGATTTTTGTGATGACTACTTGAAGAAGGCTGCATTTCTGAAGGCATGTGAACTTCAAAGTAACCCAATTTGTGATATAAGAAAATGACCCTCATCTCTTGGTGATCCATTGGATCCTCCTCCTTTGAGAAGACTTCCAGGCAGACCAAAGAAAAACAGGAGGAGAGAGCCTGATGAGGCAGCAACTAGGACAAATATAGCTAGGAGGAACCTAGCAGTGAGATGCGTGATATGTAGGGAATTTGGACACAACAGGAAAATATGTCAGTGGGCACCAACAAGGGGATCACAAGGCAGAGGAAATGCTGGGAATGAGGATGGGGGCACATAATCAGAACAAGGCACAAGCAATGTCATAGTATAGGTATAGAAATTGGATTTTTTGGAAATCAAATTCCCATAAAAATTAAGTTTGTAATGTTGAAGACTTATTTTTTTGTTCCAGACATCAAGAAAAACAGGTAGAGGTAGAGGAAAAGGTGCAGTTCATGCATCACAAGAAAGCTCAGCCAATGTACAAGGTGAGGGAATAGGAGCAGCAGGTTCTTTGAATTAGGTGCCATAGTTTGACAGTGAAGATAGATACTGTGAACATAGAAGCATACTGTGAAGATAGATACTGTTTTTTTTTTGGAAGAATGTTATTCTGTTGCAGTCTTTTTTTGTGTGTGCAGTAGACTATGGGTTGTATATGGCATATTAACAGTTATATCTAAGAAGTTCAAACTTGTGCAGGAAATTAGGGTTTTTGATATTCTGGAATTGCATTTTTTGTAGTGAGTACTCTCCTTTTGGTATTGATTGTACTGCACAATTTCAATTATGTCATGCAATTTACTTAAACACGGTTTATTAATAAAAAAACACATGTTCCAATTACAAGGTTAAAGTAGGTCTAATATTTGAAGGCTTCAGGGGTAAAATAGGCATTCTACATACAATATTACATGGGTAAGTGAAATGCATATATAAACTATAGAGGGTGCCAGTGATTTTTTCAAAAAACCAAGGGGATGTCTCTATAATTAAACCAATCTACAGAGGTGTCGGTGTAATTTATCTAAAAAATAATTGGCTACGTGTGCGTGAGATATATTGGGCCTCACTGTCACTGATGGAGTATAGAAAGAGTAATATGTTTAGACCTAAAAATCAAATAAAAACAATCTATAAATATAGCCCTTACCATAGTTCAACCATGGTGTTAAACACACTACTTCCAGTTAATTGCATAATGGACACCAGAACTGAAGCAGCACAACTGGCTACTACCGGCCGCAAGCCCGGCGGTTGGATCACTTTTCCGTTCATCATAGGTCTCTCTCCTCTCTCTCTCTCTCTCTCTCTCATACACACACAGACACACAAGCACAACTACACAATATTGGGTCCAACTATAGCACAGAAAATTTACTTTTTCGATAACATTTGTTATTTTGGGAAAAAATTATAATAAAGCAGTGTAACATGGTGTCGTTTTGTAGTTATAAATGAATCAATCGAAGACTTATAAATTATTTTTCAGTACTGTACTCTTTTTTTCAAATAGTTCTATACCATGATTCTATATAACAGCCATGATCTTTTTTGTGAAAAGCAGCAACCATGGGGACTTTGTCTCTGGCAGCAGGAGGATGGGTTTCGAACCTTATTGTGTATCTGATAGGGGAATACAATGTGAAGAGCATCGAGGCTGCTAAAATTTTTAATATTTTTAATGGCTTCATCACTATCTTTCCGATCATCGGAGCAATCATCGCCGACTCCTATCTAGGCTGTTTCTCCGTCATATGGATCTCATCCCTTATCTCTTTACTGGTAATAATAGTCTCTCTCTCTCACACACACACACACACACACTTTGTCCGCCAATGATTAAAGTGGTCTTTAGTCTTTTTCGCTTGATGGCAGTTTCAAGACAGCTTCATAGATAGAAAGCAAGATTTAATAATGACAATGGACGGTGCATAAAAGTAAATTCATGTATAATTAATGATTCGAGTATCTGTTGTAAAGTAATTAATAAAATAAATAATAATAAGAGATAAATATTAATTGATTGAGTCTAGGTGACCTAACCATTGAAAACGATCGACCATGACCGTAGTCAAAAACAAATTGTACTAATGATAGAGCAAAAGGTAGTTGGGGAGAGAGAGGGGACATTGTATGCTCAAGATGTAGTGTATGAGATTTTATACTCATGTACTCTCATGCGTAGGAGTCTTATAATTTATAGGCACAGAACTCTAGTTGAGGCAGTGACGTAAGTATTAAGGTACTAGTTTATTAGGGAGACTAGCTACAATTGGGGATAAAACACCCTCTTGGAGTCATGATTATCCTGTTGATTGTTCTTCCACATGCGTTTGACTTTTTCTGAACTCTTAGGCTTTGAATTGGATTGAGAGTATGATCTAATTCTGGCCTGCCTTTCAATAGTTAGGGCTTAACTCATGAACTGTACCACAATTGGTTTAAATTTGAACTCGTCAACATTATCAAGTAATTTGAAATTAATTTCAAAGGAAAAATATGTCAATTTCTATAGTAAACCATATGTATCTTAGATTGTAAACATGTACTTGTACTTGTAAATATATCAATTATTAGATTTGCAATTAAATTTGAAAGAAATTGAGCTAACCCAGGAAAATATAAAATCGAAAATGCAAAATATAAGCTACCCAAAAGAGTACTTAAAATAGGAAAAATGTAATTGAAGTCCAAAGGCTAAAAAAAAAAAAAAATGATGAATTGCACTTTATACCCTAAAATTTTTTAAGATTTTCACTTTATACGCTCAAAGAATAAATTTTTCAAATTGCATTTTCAATACATCAAAAGTGTTGCAATGTGACCCTTTTATTATTTTTCTATTAGTTTTTTCGCAAGTATCAATGGTTGTCTTTTGACGAAAAAAATAACGGAAGCTAATTAAATGCCAAAATTGCAACATTTTTGATACATTGAAGGCACAATGTGAAAAAATTTAATCTTTAAAAGTGTATAGTGAGAATCTTAAAATCTTTCAGGGTGCAAAGTGCGAAAACCCAAAAAATTAACTAAATATTTTTGCTTCAAGAATCCAACTCTTACGAGGAAATTTAATGAGATGAAACAACGTTTTAATGTACCATTTCAATTTCGCGCTTTGGTTATCGTGATTTTATGATGAATTTGGTTTCTTTTCTCATTTGCATGATTAAAAAGAAAATATTTGACTCGAAATTAATTTTTCATGTGCTTGCAGGGTATGGTACTCTTAGTCCTAACTGCAGGACTTGAACCTTTGAGGCCTTCCAAATGTGGAAATGGATCATACTTGTGCTCAGACCCATCAAAAATCCAATTAATAATCCTCTATTCTGGTCTAGTTCTGTCAGCTTTAGGAGTGGGGGGTACACGCTTCACACTAGCAACAATGGGAGCAGATCAATTCGATAAGCCAAAGCACCGAGGCATTTTCTTCAACTGGTATCTTGTTGCCCTGTACATACCCTCTGTCATAAGCTCCACGGCCATCGTCTACGTTCAAGACAATGTGAGCTGGGCGTCGGGGTTCGGGATTTGTGTTGCAGTCAATGTACTGGGATTAGCCATTTTCTTGTTTGGGAGTCGTTTTTATCGATATGTTAGGCCACAAGGGAGCCCACTCATGGGTTTGGTTCGTGTTGTAGTTGCAGCTGTGAACAAAAGGAAAGTAAAGCTCTCAATGAAAGGTGAAGACTATTACCAACAGTTGCATGATGGGGCCAGTACAGTGATGGCTGCAACACCTACACAATTCTTCAAGTAAGAAATGCTGCTTTACATTTACATTAACATCCAAACACATATCCATAGTCTTAGATATTGATTAGGGTGGAGTCCCACATCAGATGCAACAGTAACGAGGAGATCATGAACAAACTCATAGTTGAGGGTGCAATATAAAAAATTTGATAGTTGAGAGAGCAAAGTGAAAAAAAGATGATGGTTTAGGGGGTAAAGTGCAATTTACTCTTTTGAAAATTTATATTATTGACCGAATAATTCATATTATATAGGGAAATAAGCACGACCAAAACTCTAACCGTCCCAATAATAGAAACAAAATCTTTAATTATACGAAATTTACCAAAAATAAAAAAATTATAATCTAACTAATTAACATAAAAACACGTGTCATGTGAAATATAACAAAATTGACGATACTAAATTCAAAATCTCTTATAATTTATTATTAATTTTTGAATTCTTTTCTAAAACAACAAAAATGGGATTGTGATGGTCTAAACGATAGAATTCCGCTCAAAATTGAAGGAGTTCATTGCAGCGTTTTGATCATTGTCTCGATCTGGATTAAACAATATTAGTCCCGTTGAATTTTAAGTCTAACTTATTTTTTCTCTATTATTACTTTTTGTTGCATTTTAAAAGTGCGATAATCTACTTAATTTAAATAGATCAACGTCAACGTCACTTGATCATTTTAATTTAAACGTCTACTGCGGTTGGTGAATTGTGTATGAAGTGTTGGACAAGTATAAACTTTATAACTTGGATGACCTGAACTAACATGGTGAGACCCATTCCCTAAAAACCCACCTCACTTAGGATTGGATAAGTCCACACTAGCAATGCTTTGGTATCCACGTTACCCAAAGTTTCATAGGTCCTACATGAATACTTGTAGTCCTAATCGGAGAATTGTGGTAACCCATACAACTCACATCGTTGGATTAGATGTTTGGAAATTTCTTAGTAAAGTGTAAGCTTTTGGAGATTCTTTATCCAATCAGGGGTGGTTTAAGATAATTTGGAGCTTAAAGCGGTATTTTTAAATGAGGCTTTTTTATGTTTATTATTATTATTTTTATTTAAAATTAATTTTTCTTACTTTTTGAGTTACAAAAGTATTAATTAAATTTTTATATTCAAGTTTTGCTACTATATCTTTTTCAATAGATAATATTACTAATTTAATTAATCTTTCTTATGACATAGTCAATCTTAAATAAGATTTTATTAATTTTAATTTTGAAAAGTTTCATTCTGCAGAAGCAACTGTCATAAAAATTATTAATAATATTCTATAAACAATGCATGCATTTGGAAAAGAATCTAATTTTTTTTTTATATAATTTAGTATCTCAATTTGAGTATTTTCTTTCGTTTATAAAATTTCTTTTAAAATATTTAATTCTAAAAATAAATCTAAGCCATAAAATATTTTCTTTTTCAATATTTTCTATTTCATTATTCTCTATTTTATTATCTTTTATTTCAATATGTTCTATTTCAATATTTTTTATTTCATTATCTTCTATTTCATTATCTTTTATTTCAATATTTTCTATTTCAATATTTTTTATTTTATTCTCTTCTATTTCATTATCTATTTGTTCATTTTCAAAATTTTCATCTAAATTTTTTGTTACATTATTTTTGTTACTAATAACAAAATTATCAAGAGATCTTTTTTGATATTCTATTAGTTGTCTATTTTTCTTTTTTTAATTTTTCATATCCACTTAATTGTCTTCTAGGCGCTATATTATTAAATTATTATAACTATATATAACAACCAAACAAACAAAATATATAGTATAATTAAAATATATAACAAAAGAATTTAAAATTATGAAACAATAGAACCTTGAATGATCTCAAATATTTAGCTTTTGATTTTGAATCATGTCCCTTATGTTGCAATGAAAACTCGAGTCAATAAAGGATGGAAACCAAGTCACCTTTGATGGGTCAAATCCAAATGGCTCAATTTATGTGAAAAGTCTAAATCTCAATTGAGGAGTTCAACCTCATTAAAGATCCACCAAGCCCAACATAGTCTAAGACCAGTCAGACTCTCTACTTAGCCATGTCATCAAGAGGGAAAGCATGGGGGCCTTATCTGCACTGTAGAAGGAAACGGTCCACCCTCATCTTATTTTTGATCGCATTTCATGGAGAGCTCCTCAACCACCTCGCCCGTTGAGAAGAAATTGTGAGCTCCATCGAGATGGTTGCTTAGTTGTTGAAAAATAGTCTCAACCTGTTAGGGGGATACTATAAATTGCACGTCCCACCAACACTTGGGGGGCATCACTTTTTACCTGAGTATGACTTTCTTCTCTCCCAAAAAGCTTGTGTTCTCTATTTCCCACAACCTTGAGTTAATAAAGTACTCGGCGATAAGAGTCATTCAAGAGTGGACGTAGGTCGAGTTGACCGAACTACTATAAATTGCTTGTGTCTCTCCATCTCCTTATATTATTTCTTGCATTTATTTATTCACATTTGACAGGTGGTGTGCAAAATTATTTTGTGCATTATCAGTTTGGCGCCGGCTGTGGGAACCGACAAAATTCTCACTCATAAACATTCCATTTGTTGAACCAATGACGATCACTACCAGGTCCATGAACTAACACGAAGACAATCCACCACGAGAGGAGGAGGTTGCTCCTCCACCTACCAACCCTGTCCTAAATGCTCCAACTCCAAATCTTCAGCAAATGTTGGAGACCATGCAGCAGCTGGTAGCCCAAAACCAACAGATACTACAACTCATGCTCGGTGGACAAGGAGGAGCACAACCTGGAGGTGCACAGCATGGAGGACTCCGAGGAGTTCCACGCCCTGGACATCAAGGAGCTCCACACCTTGTTGCAGCACACCTGGGCGCCCCCTTTGGAGTCCCCTTGGGCGCCCCACACAGGGGAGCCCTTCATGAGGGAGTTCCACCTCCTCCTATTTTCCATGGTGAGGACCCTTATCTTCAAGAAGATAAGGGCGAGAACCAAAGCATGGAGCACAGGAGTCATTTCTATGATCACTCCAGGGGACCCCCCAACCATTGAGACGAGAAGATCAAAGAAGTGCAAAATCAATTGGGTGACGTCTTCAATGCCATGAAGGCGTAGGGACCCGAGACAATAGACTACCTCGTAAGGCGTACAGACATGCCCTTCAAGCTTGACGTGGCGAACTATCCCCTCCCTTAAAAGTTCAAAATGTCATCCGTGGAGACCTTTGACGGAACAAAAGATCCATTAGATCACCTCGACACCTACAAAACTCTAATGCAGCTGCACAACATTCCAGACGAAATCATGTACAGGGCGTTCTCAACCACATTGAAGGGGTCCGCACGACAATGGTTCGCTAAGCTCTCCCCAGCCTCCATCGCCTCCTTTGCTGAGCTGAGCAGATCATTCATATCGCATTGCATTGGGGGCGTCGCCACCAGAAGCTTGTCACCCATCTACTTAACATAAAGCAGGACCAGGAGGAGAGCTTGAGAAGCTACCTCACTCGTTTTAACGAGGAGGTACTCCAAGTTGATGAGCCCGACGACAAAATGACGATTACTGCCTTCTTGGGAGGCCTCCTCTCGTCAAGTTTCCTTTTCTCAGTAATGAAGCGCCCACCAAAGAGCATGTCGAAACTGCTAGCAAAGGCCCAGAAATACATGAATGCTGAAGACATCACAAGGGCCAGGCAAGGTGAGTCATCCAGAGTAGGGAAAAAGAGGAAGGAATAGGAGAGGGAAGACAAGAAAAAGACCAGTAACAAACGCGGCAGAACAGAGAAGGTTCCTGTCAAAGACAGGCTAGGTCCTGCTCCTTAGAGGAACCGACAAGCCTTCACTCCCCTCAATGTCACTGTCGGGCACATCCAATTCCAGATCCAGGATGACCCCGCTATAAAGTGGTCAGGGAAGATGAAGTCTCCTCCTTATCGCAGAAATCCTAACAAGTATTGTCGTTTTCACTGCGACTATGGGCATGACACCGACGATTGCTATGACTTCAAAAAACAAATTGAGGAACTTATCCACTGTGGCCACCTACGCCAGTATGTTGCTAGCAGAGAACGAGCACCACCACCTCACAATCAAGAGGACCAACACCCCGTGGGGAGATCCACACCATCTTAGGAGGATTAGTAGGAGGTAGAGAATCACTCTCTGCAATGAAGATCCACGCCAGAAAGGCAAGGCACCTCGACGAGATGCGCCCATCCAAAGTGCCAAAGCAAGGCGACAACGAGGTCATATCTTTCTCAGATAAGGACCTAGAGGGAATCGAACACCCCCATGACGACCCCCTGGTGCTCACCATGACCGTGACCAATTTTCAGGTGCGCAGGATCCTAGTAGATAGCGGCAGCTCTGCGGATATCCTATTCGCAAAGGCTTATGACAAGCTCAACCTGGGGAGGGAGAGACTGTAGCCTATCAGATCACCCCTCATTGGGTTCTCAGGGGAAAAGGTATATCCCCTAGGGTCCATCACCCTACCTATCACAGTCGGAGCAGCGCCCCCAGAACTTCATAGTCATGGTCAATTACTTGGTCATAGACTGCCCATCAGCCTACAATATCATACTGGGGCGACCTGTTCTTAACACATTAAGAGTTGTGTCCTCCACCTATCACCTCATCCCTCGCTTTCCAACCACGAATAGAGTCGGAGAGGTCAGAGGAGACCAGGTAGCAGCGAGGGAGTGCTATGTCTCCTCCATGAAGACCAGGAAGCCACAGGAGGCATTGCAAGTTGAGGTCCTTGACCCAAGGAATGACGCCACTATAGAGAGAAGAGAACCAGTCGAGGAGCTCACCCCTATGGCCTTGGATGAAGAGCACCCAAACAAAAGAATATATATCGGCTCTTCCCTTTCTGAAGACCTGGTTAGTCTGCTAATAAACTTTTTGAGACGTAACATGGACGTCTTTGTATGGTCATATGCAAACCTTGAGGGCATTGACCTAGAAGTGGCTACACACCATCTCAATGTAGACCCATGCCACAA